CAGCATTTACCCTTTCACTCATGGTTTTTAAGGTCTCCCAGGCTACTTCCATATCCAGTGCTTCATGCATAAGTAATGCTCATCCACCCTCACTATCGCAATCGATGCATTATCTTCACTTTCGCTGTATTTTCCTAGAAACACACTGAATGTCTCTTAACCCTAAGTTGCTCTCCAAGTGTAATATTCTGACTCGGCTTATAGAAAACTTGAACGGTTTTCGAATGTACACCTATTATAATCTCGAGAGTGTTTGCTGAAAAGCCGAATTTCAGAGGTGCAGATGCTCACAACAGAGCAAATCGAGGATTTATCGGAGAATTTTAAAACAGTAAGAAACCTTTCTGTCTTTTTGGCGCTCCATCACTGCTTCATAAACACCACTTTTCAGGTGTATCAGGATGGAACGGGATTTCTACCACACAGCGATCTTCAGGCCGCTTTGAAAGTGTTAGGTATCGATATACCCGGATACAAAGTAAGTTTATTGATTATGTGGTTTTTGCTGTTCCTATGTACCACATCATTCTGAATCGAAAGTGCTGTCAAATTCTAGTAGCCTAGTTCGGCGTGCCTTTGCCTAAAAGCCTCTTTCGGTTGTTCCTCCTTTTTGTCCTAACTTTGTATCCTGACTTCCTTTGATAGCAAAAACCATTACATTTACGCCGCGCATGTCTGAAGATAGTGATTAGCGTATTTTAACGACCTGTTTGATACAGTAGGTCTCCTCCCAAGCTAAGACCCCATTCTTTATAACAAAAAATCTGACAAAATACGTAATGTAGCGTGTTCTTTAATTTTGCTAAACATTTTTTTCTTGTCTTCTGTAGTTTTCTCAGTCATCGAAGCCTACTTTAATAGTGTTTTCGAGGCAAACTTGAGTTTCATCCTTCTTTTTAACAATCAGTTCAAAATATCTTTGAGTGGGTATTTGTATTGATTTAGATGCGTGAACTGTCTGATCGATATGGTTTTTCTAATTCCGACAAAGTGGAATTGTCGCGATTTGCAATGTTATTCGATGAACTTGAGCAGGCAAAACATGAAGAAACTAACCGATGGAAAGAAAGAATCGGGTGCGAACTTTCAATCTCTTCGCATTTTCAGTCTATTCTTGCTTCTTCAGCAAACTTATATTTGAATCCTTTCTTTTTTGCACGACTTCTTATACTTACCGTTCTCGAAGAAAGTCGGCTATCGAACAATGGAGTATTCGATAGCTGTGATCATACTTCGTAGCACATGATAGTTTGTTCAGGTCTGTAAGCGGAGCGTATCAAATTCCAAGTGACAAGCAAGAGAACACCGTCCATACGATCAGGACTGAGGTAAATCATAACCATAGAGTTTTTTTATTTTATAGACATTACCTACAACACAAAGTCATTCTAGGAAGAAGTGGCCTTTTCAAATTGGATTAATTCAAATCTATCCGATGATCCAGACCTTAAGCGATTACTTCCTGTTATTCCTGAAGGGAACGATCTATACACGAAAGTCCAAGACGGTTTAATCATCTGGTCAGTTGCGTTTCGCTTTGTGAGACTTTTTTCTTAGGACAGCAGTGCAGCTCATGCATTTTTATTTTTTGCTAGTTTTCTCTCTTTTTCGCTATCTACAAGATACGACATAATCGCATCGGCAGGTGTGAGTCACTGCTAAACTTCGTCTCAAATGTTTTTGATGAAGGGATATCTGCATGACTCAGCCCATTGCATTGAATGATGAATGCCTTTGATAAGTAGCAGTAAAGCGTGAGACTTTTTCCTCCTAATATCATTGCTATCCGCTTTGATAGGGTTGCAATTATGAAATAAGTCAGGCAGTCTCTATGAATCTGGTAGTAGTAATTATCGAGTGGCGGAGATAATGTAGTGACAAGTAATACATTTCGCCCTCATACATGGCTCAGGTATCGAGTTGAGGATCGATGCGCGCCTAGATACACAAAGCCTCCCACTTCTTCGGGGTCGGTGACTTGGTACCAGATCTGTCTGAGAAGATAGAAGCAACGGTTAATGCATCGGCTAGTTACCGCAAGTCATTGCACAAGGTATAAACGCATTCAAAATGCCCCCATGATTCTCAATGGACTTCCCCGGATGCGTCCCAGAAACAGTATTGATTTGGACCGATAGACTTCAGCCTTTATTAATAATTATTGAGCATAAATATCAGCAAGTGATCTAAAGTAAGTCGCAAAGATTTGAGAGATGATGTAAAATTGAAAACTCAGGTGATGTCGTAAGGTGATATAGGTATGACAATTCATCACATTATAAAAGATTACGGTTGTCTTTAGCATTAATCAATCCCTTTTCGAGATGCACCACGCATTCTACTGGCATTCAAAATCGTAGTGGCATGTTGAATGCGTGGTGACCTATATAATGGCTTGCGAGAGCCACACTCAATATATAAGTCTATGGTTTTACCCCACCCCCAAACAGCTTGGTATCAAATAATCGACTTCGAAGGGATGGAAGGCTTGCATGGCTCAGGCGGATATCAATGTTGGATCCGAATGTCGGACTGTGTGTGGTACTGTGCCACTCTAGCACCATTCACCTAACAATATTTTATGTTTACAATTTAAAGGCCAGGCTAAATTGACATATTTGAGATATGGTGAGTGATTAAGTAAAAGATTCTTTGGGGCAAAATCGAGGTAAAAAGCGTCAATAGGCGCATATTAATATTAATGAAAGAACATTGCAGCAAACTCGTAAACTTAGCTGTTGCTGGTACTATCCATGAGAAAGCCATCAATAAGAAGAATTTGAATACGTACACCAAACTGGAAAACCTGACCTTGGCTCTGATGTCTGCTCAGGTTCGTGGAATTTCGTTGAGCTCAAGTTTATTGATTTTCATTGTTGTTATCTCCCAAAACCTCATGGTATAGCAAATCTAATTTGAGCATTGAAACTCTTGAACTTCCTTGAAAAGACTATATACATCTGTGAGATTTCGGCAAAAAATGTACGAATACACATCTCGTTCTGCCTTTCCCAGTTCATATTTCGTATTCATATTGTTCATATGAGTTTCTGACAAACTTCTTATATAACATTAGGTTGTGCGTAAAGTCTCATCCGAAAATTTCGCAGTAATCCAAACTTCTCTTGGTATTTTCAGGGAGCTTCCATGAAGTTTCTTTGAAAAATGACCCTCGCGTGCGTCAATTTTCCCTTGCTTATTCAACCGTGTACTGACCAAACCGTCTATCCATATTCAACACTTTTTTACGATTTCTAATAAGTACGGCCACACGCTGCTGAAACCCATTGATATTTATGTTGAGCATTCACTACTGAAGCCTCTCTCAAACAATTCTGTGCACACCTCGTTCCAACACCTCACAGCCTGGAACAAAAAGGGTCCTCCTGCAGTGTTTCTAAGGAAGGTTCAGCAAAATTCTGGTAAAATATGGGCCATTCTGTTCAGTTTCAGAATAGTTGCCGCTCGACCCTACATCAGTACAGCTCATCAGCTGCTGCTGTTGACTCTCTTTAAAGTCCCTTCTAGTCCTTCCGTACCACTGGCCGGTGGTGAGGCGAAATATCCGACTCCCTGTGATCATGCTCGTAAATAGCGCAAGCTTGCTATGATGCCCATGCTATCATCCTATAACCACGTTATATTGGTGCTGTAAAGCTGATTACTGTATTTATGCGGTAGATCGAAAAGCGGGGACGAAAATATTCTTAACACTTATCACGAGAGCATTGACTTTGATAGCGTTTTCTTTTACCCTACCTCTTCGTGCATCACTTTAATTCCGGCACAGCGTGTGNCGAAAGTATTTATGGTGAGAGGGACTTGCTCTGATAGTGTAGAAGGAATACCGTTTGATGTTCTCTATGATCGTTAGATGAGAGGCATTTAGGTGGTTTCAAATATTTCTTCACTTTATCGACAGTCTTCACTTCCATAGCTAGAAGTGTATAGGATAAACTGGAAACCTTCTGCGCTGAATTTTAAGGGGATATGCGCAATCCTTAATGACCAAGGTCTTAAAGGAATATTTGAATCAACATCAGAGAACTTCAATCGGTGGTTCTTCATACCTTGAATGAGAAACTTCTTGTCGATCCTCCATAGATGGATCTTCACATTACAGGGGTCCTTGAATTTTTTTCTTGCAAGCGAGCAGTTGTATTGGTCAGGGTCAGTGGCATCATTGCAATACAATTCAGTCTTTTTCACTGGATTATTACGGCTATTTTGGGGCAAAATGAGTCCGATTAGTGGTCGGCTAATGTGTGCTTCGTGTTTTTGTCACCCGCACATGATGAGTGAGGAGCAAGAACCTTTAATAAAGCACAATCTAAGTAAATAAAATTAATATAAGAGATATAAGAGAAGTTTTAATGGGAACAATTCGAGTTGCAAAAGACAGTAACTCCTATCAACTCTTCCTGTTCCTTGGGATGGAAGTGCCCTCCCCACGGTACCTGTAGCTTTTAACATGATTTTAATCTTTCAGAGTTTCGAACTCTCGTCCCTCTTGCCCCATAAATTGCCTTCGGTTGGTGTGCGCTCTCATGCGGCCTTTTTTAGCTCAGCCACTTCTTCTTGAATGTTCGGTGGCGGTGACTGGCATGTCCATACGTACTGTCAGTCATCGCCTTCGAACATTCCTGAGAGTGAGGACATATTGCGAGCAGATTTGCCTTGAACTCTCTAATTTATCCTGTTGATACTACCTCACATAGGAACTAGGAAGGTTTTCATGAAAGGTCTCATCATGGAAAGATTCTATCGTTCTGTCACAATGATGGAGAAAAACATGAGAACACTAGAAATAGAAAATCCTCATTTGAATTGAATAGTGACGGCGGGGTGTGTACTCTATAAGCGTCGCGCTTTCGGAGTCGTCCCGCCGAGGCCAATCCCCATCGGTGGTTGCTCGGCAGGACGACTCCAGCGGCGTGAGCCAGGCCACCGGTGGTGGCCCGCTCGCTATGCTTGTATTCAACTGCCACGCAGACTTGGTAGATCTGCGCTGCCCCAGTCTCGTTTACGAGCTCCCACGGCAGTACGCTAAGGGGGTTGTTAGCCCAGCGCCGAGCTCCCTCAGGCGCTGGGCACACGGTCCGACCATGGCCTACGCGCCCATCCCTGCTAGCCAGGAGGGCTGCGATATATGGTTATTACCACACTTCACGTACGAAAAGCACACATTATAAATTGTATTGTTTTATAACAAACTACGTATGGAAAGAAAAAGGGGTTAAATGCGAGTAAATATAAATGTTACGATACGAAAAATACTATGAGAAAAGACATGAAAAATACACATAAACATAAAACCACGCTCAACCTACGGACTGGGCACAATCCCTCTTAATCCTCATTCTGGGCCATCCGAGTCATCCTTACCTCCTTCTGGTACCGCTGCTCCATGGTCCTTCCTTGGCTGCGGACCATTCATCCTGGTGTTCCTTGCTTGCGACAGACTTGGCAGCAACGCGCCGCTGGCAGATGACAGCAGTGTGGCGCTACGGGAACCATTGGGGCTGCTTCGATGGCGTAGACGTCGAATAGCACCAGAAGACGTCGAAGGGTAGGCGGCTGCGACGGTGACGGCTACAACGACTGATGATGCCATCGTCGCATAGCGGCTAGAGTCCATTGCCATCTGGCAACTATAGCTCTCTGCAGCGTACTGTGCCTTTCCCGGCAGGACTTCGGGCGCCCCATGCCAGACCGACCTTTAAGTCGTCCGAACGGCACGACAACAAGGCTTGCTTTGTGAAAGAGAAAAACGTACTATTTCACGCTTGATTCGTGCCATTTTGGTGATTGTGAAACGGCTATGGTTAGCTATTTTGCCAATAACTTCCTAAATGCCACGTCTGTGCAGTTAGTTCAATATTTCTAATTCGTTGTAACAAATGGTAAAATCACTATGAGCCTACAGTAGCAGGCGAGACAGCTATAGAGAGCGGCATGTAATAGTTTATCAGTTTTTTTTTCGCAATTGTTTTCAACAATCTGGACTACAGCACAATCTTGAGCCTGTTTAATCACTGAAAAGTCACAAGAAATTCATATAGAGGCGCGGCTTCATTCCGAATATTGCCTTGATTGGCACTCATAACTCTGCAATACGCTACAGGTTCAAGTTTTCGCAAGTTGAGGACCACTATTAATTTCATTTTTAGGTGCGATTCATAGTTTTCTGATTAATTCAATCTTGTTTAGGCTATTGGATGCAACATCATCAATATCGACAACATAGACCTCAGCAAGGGAACACCTCATCTTGTGTTGGGCCTCCTTTGGCAAATAATCAGAGTTAGTTCTTACTAGGCACGTATTTTCACAACTGCATCACGAGTTTCACAAATTTTCAGATTGGGCTTTTCAACCAAATTGACTTACAACACTGTCCAGGACTGTTCCGATTATTGAAGGAAGGAGAGACACTCGATGATTTGAGAAAATTGTCTCCAGAAGAAATCCTAATGCGATGGGTGAACTACCACATGGAAAATGTACGTCTTTGCTTGAATAGTGTTCAGAAGATCGTTTTGTTCTCTACTGTTTTCTATTCTAGGCCAATGTAAATCGTCGATTGACGAATTTCACTACGGATATCAATGACTCCGAGATTTATACACATCTCCTTCATCAAATAGCACCCAACGGCTGTGGTGTGACGCTGGCTCCTCTCTCAATCAAGGTGATTTTGCTGTTTTTTTTTNNNTTTTTTTTTGTAGTAATGCACTATGTTCTTACATATACTTGTTTTTCATGCGCTGTGGCTATGAGCGAATTGCAATCTGCGCTTAAAATCCGCGTGGCAGACCATTTTTCTCTTCCTGCTTGCATTCATTCACCGACACGTCACGGGTTCAGAAAGTATTAGGTTGGCTAAAAGCCATTTTCTATTCAAAAAACATAACTCTGTTCGAATGCAGTAGCTTTATGACGTTAGGTGGGTATGGGTGTGCAAGTGAATGGGAACTTTTCGGTTCTCCAAACAAGACTGCGATTGAGTAGATCTACTCACCAGTTAGGCTAGAAGGTAGGTACCTACTTTTTTCATGAATTTGCAGTGCATGACATCATCCAAGCAGCGAATGCGATCTTCCTCTAATGAAACTGCAGTCTCGCTGCCCTTCGGGACTGCCGGCTGCTTTTCATCTCCTCACTTGAAAAGCTTTTTTCTTATGGTCGTAAAGAATCAAGGTTTCATCATGTGCTGATAATAAATAAGGAAGGGCTGGTGAGGGTTGGGATATAGAATCGCGGTTTCTCCGTGTTCGTTGTGTCGTGGTCTCAGTCAGTGGCGCAGGGCCTATTGAGCGAAGAGCTCTTCTTTTCTTTTGCATGCATATCATTCAGAATTGTATTCTTGCAAAGGGCTCCAGTTTAATCTGGCAGCAGGCAGCTAAGCTTAGCTCCTCAATTTCTTTCGTCAATCGGCATTACACAGTTTCCTTCAGTTTCAGCGCCATCTTTGGGTTTTGAATCTTCGGACTTGTTCTTGGAGTGCTTATTATCTTTTTGGGAACGTTGTTTTCGATACCTTTAGCGAGCTGTATGCTACTGAAAGGAAAACAACAGAGCATCTCTTCCGTTTCTGAAGTCTTACGGAACCTCGAAACGACGGTCTCCCATTATTTATGAGAGCTGCTGAATTTGAACAAGACTTTATTTCTCTTCGGACTCATGAAGATAGAGCAGAATTTTCTCCAGAATCTCATATTTTTAGTAGTTTCGAACGAGTGGTATGAGGGTAAGAATCAAGATGGATATCCTCACAGTAAGGTTTCTCACCGACGGACGGAACTTATCAAGCCAAAACATTATGATTTAGGGTAATTTGAATCGTGCTGCTGCAATGTTGGATGAAGCGGAGAAGTTGGAGTGTCGTGAATTTGTCACACCTAACGACGTCGCCAGTGGCAACTATAAGTTAAATCTTGCATTTGTTGCGAATCTTTTCAACAAACATCCGAATCTACCTGATCCTGCTGCTGATGAGATTGGTATGTTATTTTTTTTTTCATTTAGATAAAATTTGTCTCAAAAGCACAAGTCACGGTGGAAGGTCCCAAGATATTCTCCCAGGGTGAATCCGTGGCTTCCAGTAATGCCATATAGGACGCTGTCAGATCGAAAAAGGGCTCACATAGGGCGTATGCGGGGCTCAAAGGTTGTTTCCAATGCATGCCACACATGGAGATGGCCGTGCTTCAAAAATCCGAATTAGGTCGCACCTATCCGAATGGTTTTCCATGTCGTGATCTCGCACAATCCCCTTTCTTTAGAGTTTTTTGGAGCCTTTCTCTTGAAATTCGGCGATCTTTGCACTATCGTCGCCGTTGCACTTTTGCACTATTCTGCACTGTAAGTTCCATGATTACGTTTTAACGATTACGTAGAACTACGATTATCCATGGTTTCGTAATGTACGAAATGGTGCCAAACAGGGAGAAGGGCTTTGAAAATATATCGCCCAATCCCCAAGAAAGGAAAGGGAAGGATGCATGGCTACGACTTTGTTTCGAGTGGCAGTGAAGATTTACAAAAATGCGATTCCCTAATGAATGGCTGGCATTCAACAACGCCTGTCTCGGCTCAACGCCGGCTGTCCCGCCTGAGGAGACGTAAAAACTTTTTCTCCGGTCCAGCAATAAGCTTTTTGTTGGAAGCTCCATTAGCCAAATAGTGTACTGAGAGAGCCCAGCTGCATGTGATTTGAAATTCAACGACTCAAAGAGAGCGAACCTCATGCTCTTCATGTTAGCCTATGCCTATATTTGTCATATTTGATATCCATTCGACTGACAGTGTGTCGAGAAAATGTTTCCGCTTCTGACGGGAAACATCGAAATCCTTTCTGAAGAATGCCTAATAGAAGCTTATAACACACCAACAGCTTCCTTAGGCGAACTATTCGAAGATGGTACTTTGCCAAATATAAGTTTTCAATCATCCTTTCATGCAGACAGTCAAATGATGAATAATCACGAAAAGGATTCGAATCCTATATCAATGCCGTTTAGTCGAGGAAGTTGTCGAGGAAACGCGCGAAGAGAGAACTTACAGAAACTGGATGAATTCGATGGGCGTGAATCCATATGTGAACTGGCTTTATAGTGATCTTCAGAATGGTGTCATCATATTCCAGGTAAAATCTTTAGCGATATGCTGCTGTTAATTCAAAGTTTTTTATTTTCTTCTGTAGCTGTACGACATTATTCGCCCTGGAATCGTTCAATGGAAACGAGTAGTACGCGTGTTCCACAAACTGAGAGGTATGATGGACCAGATTCAAAATTGCAATTATGCTGTGGAACTTGGCAAGCAACTGCGGTTCTCGTTGGTTGGTATCCAAGGAAAGGATATCTACGATGGAAATCAGACACTAACGTTAGGTATGTGTTTAGCATTCGTGATTTCAAATGCAAGGCTAGTAATGGGGAGTACAGTAGACATCTCTGCTTCTACTGGTTGCTCGGATTCAAATTAAAAGTGGCTGTGATTTCGTTGTGTTTCAGCGCTCGTTTGGCAATTAATGAGGGCCTACACATTGACGATTCTCGCGCAGTGCACTCAAAGTGGTGATTCGCTCCCCGCCGACAAGGACATCGTTGCATGGGTGAACCGTAAGGTTCGGGCATTGCTTTTGGCTTTTTCCTTTTTTTTTGCACTTTTGACTTTTTTTGCCCTTTGTCGATATATAGGAGCAAACAAAAGATTATCGATAGGTGCCAATTATTGGTCTACACTGTAAACAGCAGAGTTGGTGTCATAGTTTTGGATTCTTGTTTTGAATAGATTGGATGTTCAAATGGATCTATATAGTTCTTCATTTTAAGTTGGCCTCTTGTGGGAAAACATCTTCGATTCGCTCCTTCCAAGATTCATCCATTTCTGATGCAAAGGTTGTGCTTGACCTAATTGATGCTATAAAGCCGAATGTCATTGATTATTCCTTAGTAAGTGATATACGGTTTTTATTGTTTCTTTTGGATCATCCAATCTACAATTCTTCTTTTATACATCCGTTTAAGGTGAGCAGTAGCAATAATATGGAAAACGCCAAGTATGCAATCACGTGTGGTCGAAAAATCGGAGCGAAGATATACGCGCTTCCCGAGGATATCGTTGAAGTATGTCTCAAAATTCACCTAATTGCCAATTTTACTCTGTTAGCACGTAAGACGTAACGCTTAGAGCACTAAAGTCCTTTATCACCTTCTATTGGTAATCATCGCTTATTACCACCCTGTCTATCAGTGTATTTACTCTGTCAACCCTTTTCAGTTTTGAGGATTCCCTCTGGAGAACGAGTAGGCAGGGTTCATTGGAACACTTCACCCCCTTGACTCATCTTATTGTTAGATCGAATTTTGAAACAGTGGGCTAAATTCCTTTCATTCCTGACCGCTCACGCGTGAACAGCTGGATCGCAAAAAGTGAATGCTGCTGGTCGGGTCCATTGATATGGAAATATTCCCTTATCTGGATGAATTAGTTCTCAGAGTCACTAAAAAGCGGTGTCTATTCGAAATTCTAGCAGTTGTTTTCATAATAGAGGCATCAAATTCGGAGGTCTTGGTTCCAAATTCTTGTAGAACTTTGTATCGATTATGATGTTATTTTTTTATGTAACAAAATTGATCTTCGACGATACAAAAACCGATTTTCCAGTGGAGACTAACCTTCATTCCATATTTGTCAATTGTCATATGTATTGTTTCAGGTGAAACCAAAAATGGTAATGACCGTATTTGCATGTCTAATGGCTCGTGACTATATGCCTGATATGAGGGAATCGGTCCCAGAACCCGTTTATCCTTTGTCCTCATAGTTTCTTTGTCGCATATTGGTACAACTTATACTGCATTCCTTTACAAACTCTAGTATTTGTATTCATAAGTCGGATTCTCAGTGCCGTGTTGGTCATCCTTCCCAAGCTGCTTCTCTTTTGCATGCAGTGTGCGTTTTCATTTAATTTTTTTCTGAGTTGGTGAACACCATCCCGGTACCGATGTCACCATTGCCCATCCGGTTCGCCACCTAAACGTCTATTCGATTTCTTGCTATCTGGTCTCCTTTTTTCACCGATTTGCTCTCGCTTCCTTTCCTGTGTATGTGCATCGAAAATTCAGTGATATAATTTATATTCCAAACATTTCGCTTCAGAACTCACTTGAACTCTGAACTCTTTGTTTTCACCTCTACTACACTTCAAAGTCACTTCGGAATATTGATATTGTGTTAGTAGTGTAATTGTATGTATTGGTCTTCTGAACTCAGTTGTCCATCAACTGCTCGAACTAATCAAATCTTTGTGCTTTATTCTTATGAATATCCTCGCTATAAATCGTTTTCATATCATCAGGAGACTATACATCTGTTGCTTTTTTTCTTCTTCGCCGTCTTCACTGTTGACAGAGGAGGCAAGCCGCGACTACAGTTCTGGAAGTGATTTGCTCTAAAATACGCTTTAAAAAAATTCTGGGAAACTTACTCGGCTAAGAGAAGCGGCAACAAGAAGCTTGTTGATGTAAAAGGTGTCATCTTCTGAATCTGATGAGGAAGTACTGAAAATGACGACGTGGTGATCGATTTCGTTGCACGAAAAAAGTTACGCCACAAAGCCGCTTACCTGTACCCGTGTTGTTCGTCTCGTCGCCGTGCTTTGGTCGGCGTTTGGGGGTAGTGCCCTTTGGTTTCCCGTTCGAAATCACTTTCGATTCGCACAGCTGTTGAAGGTAACACGGTCTCGTAGATGTTCTCCACTGGAGGAGGAGGAGGTGGTGGAGCACGTGGCGGTGGACGAGGTGCCATTGGGGATGATGGGATCCTGCAAACTCGCGCTGTCATATATGAAATGGCGAAATCATTTTCAGTTCTGCAGGCAATTGAATCCAAATTCTTCCAGTAATTCTTGAGCTTCCTTTTGTCTGTCATTTTTTCTATGCTATTTTTATGTTTTTTGTTTATTGTTTCTTCTTCTATGCTAGTTTAATGTTACCTGATCCTAATGTTGTTAAAAAAAATGTTGCTTGAGGACTTCCAAAGAGGGCATGGGTTTTCATTTTTTTCGTAAAGTCAGGTTTATAAATGAAAGGTAAAAAAAGGCGAAAATCAAGAATTTTCGGAAATTTCTAAGAAAGCTCCGAAATGAAGCCTGCTTACATAAATCGAAGTTTCGGATACGTCAAACGTTTAACTCTAGTACATTCATAATTACTGGCTTCCCTTACATTTTCAAGGATGTTGGCAATGAGCGCATGGACAGACAAGAGGTGATCAGCTTCGGAATTATGAATCTTGTAGAAAGTATACTGTTCACATCAACTATATAGACGTTAAATTTGAAGCTCAGAAAAGTAGTGGCTTACTAAATTTGCCAACAATTTCCGTCAGCATCATTATTAGGTCCGGAGGGTAAGAATAAAAGTCAAATGCAACTAGGATATTGCCTACTGAAGCGATCGTAAGACAGTCAAGGAGCTTCATTAGCAGCCTAACCGAGTTGCTACAGTAAACAAATGAAAAGAAAAGCCGTTTTTCAGGAAATATCCTCCGTGTCCTATTTCTCACAGCCTGCTTACAAAAAACCTCAAGTGTCAGCAGAGTGAACCAAGGCCGTCCTAATACAACGCAGGCTACAATTCCAGCGTACGAATATTTGCAAATAAATGACATCTACAAAAAGGAACAGTGGCGATTGCTGAATCTACCAGGTGAAAAGTGTGCCATGGTAACCAACAAAAAGTTTTAAATCCATGCTTTGGAAGCGGTTATCAGTGAAAACGGTGTTGCAAACCACAAATTCAGAATATTTGTAGTTTCCTGGAGCAGTTCAACATAACATCAAAACCCTTTTCGCGAGTTGGGAGGCATAGTTGATGCAACTAGCATGCCGTCCCTTCTGCTCACTCTAAATCGGAAACTGAATTTGGATACCGCCTTCTTCACGAACAACCCTGCATTATTTGATCAAATTTTTTCGGATCTTTTTGCTCTTTGCCCACAATTTCAAGATTCCACAAAAATACGGCTCTGAAGAAAACGATATGAAACGTTTAGCGATAAGGTTTTTACTAAGAAGCTCGTGAAAGATGAAGACTTAAACTACATGAAGCTACAGTCATGCCGAGATTGATGGAAGCCCGCACATGGAGATTTCGTAGGCAATTTATAAATTGTGTTTCAGGAGCTTGAAAGGTAATCAGCGTGTCCATAGAGCCTACAATGTCTTCTGAAGCAAGTTGAGGACTGAGCTAGAATGTGCATGCGTGCTACTGCCTGAACTCGATTTCTGCTGTTTCAGTGCCAAACCATTTTGATATTCCCATTTCATCATTTCATCAAAAAATATAGTATGAGGTTATTAGAATCTTAGAACCTCCAAGCAATTTCCCGACCGACCGAGCTTTTCTATACACTTCTAGAGACAATAGTGGGATAGCTGAAGATATCAGCACTCTTCTCTTATAAGGTCAAGCTTTCCTTATACGGGCAGAAATGCTTCAGTATTTGATGTAAAAGGTAGTGTATCGAATACGTCATGGTCCCCATAAGAAGGTCTCGTGGTCACATTTATGGATCTCCTAAATTACGGATCAAAGTGGGTGGTAAGGGAGGAGTGAACGGTTAGAAGAGAATAGTTGAAGAGTGACATTTCGCGTAGTACATCCAAGCCGAACTGATAACAATATAAACTATGTACCTTGTAGGAGTTCCGATTGCTCGTCGTTCAACTGAGCGATATTTCCGCCGTTGGCGCGCAACATTCGTTGGGGGAAGCTTTCTCATAGGGGAGGACGATGTTGGAATTCGGTCTTCGTCAAACAATTCATCTGAAAAGGAGATGCTGACAAGTGAATGAATTTATGAATCCAATGTAAATCTATGAAAAGATCGAACCGCTAAGAAGAGAATGGAAAGAAGAAAAAAGCTTCCCTACCTTCTCCGCCACACGTCCTGTAACCACAGTAGAGGTTTTTATTGACCAGGCTATACTTCTTGCCGAGAAGATTTTTGGCACATATCGAACAGCAAAAGCATCGTTCGTCGGCATGCCAACTCAAATCACTCTGAAACCATGTATGGAAGGAGGGTCAGCTCATTCGAGCTGAGATTGAATCAAAAGAGACCTGTGAAATGTGGGGATGATCGAGGGGGATGATTCCATTGCAGGTGGTGCACAGGAGCGATGGCGAACCATCGGCATGAAAACAACTGAGACATACTGGTTTTTTGTTTCTGAAAAGGAAGTAGTTAGAAGTAGTTGCCAGAATGTTAGGACACGTCGAACCTCTGCATGTACTTCTGCCCTCCCAACTCTTTCGAGCAATCGGCACACTGGAAGTGATGGTGATGCCATGTCCGGCCTTCAGCTTCTGTGCAGTCGTCACCAAAGATGAGCTGAATCAAAATGAAATCAAAGCCTATCAAAAATGGTTCGCTACCCCTATTTCTTTCGCCAGCACTGAGCCATTACATCCCTATTAACCCCTTCTTCAGATAGCTGTTTAAAGCAATTGAAGCCTTTGCCAGAGAAGGCAGAGTAGAAGAACCTTGCCAGTCCGCCTCTCCTTCACTTTCAAAGTCCATTTTCGAATCTGCGCTTTCACGTAGTTCCCTTCTATTAAGACAATGATGTCTGTTTTAGTCCCTCATGTACTCGATTTTTCCTTTTTTTTCAGGAAAATATGATTGTTCTGTGAAGGGCAGCTTCATGAAGGGTAAGCGTATCTCAGCGACCTTCGTTGGCGTCACTCACTACTGCCTCACCTCTTTCCTCTACATACATATTTCCAATGAATTTGCTCCGAGCAGGGCTGGATTGCTAGCCAAGGATGCATACATTCACAGGAGCGAATTTTGGAAGTGAAAAGTAAGTAACTGGAGAAAGACTCTCTGAGGGCAAGATCATGCACCGTACTACTTGCAAATAATGTAGGACACTGCTTAAAAGGAAGAAAGCTGAAATGTCCCAGCCTCTGTAAGGCATCTGCGTGGGTGTCGAACGAGTGACGAACCTCCACATAACCTGTTCCTACCTCTTATCTTTTCCCTTCATTGTGATATGAACGATGCAAGGAACGAATCCCGTCTGGAGTCTGAGTACACCAGCGGGGGTGTGCGAATGATGGCACGACATTAATCTTACTTGGGACAATTCGCACTTACGAGGTGGTCTTAGTTGGCTGTAAATCTTGAACACCATCGTGCCGTCTGCCTATATCCCTTAGATCGGTAAAAAAATGAATCAAGAGCTCAACAAGGGTGGGAGGGAATACATTTGAAGAAATGATGCTCCTGAAGCAACAAAATAAGTACAACGCTAGTTGAGATTTTTATAAACACCCACAGACGAAATCAAAAACCTGGGGCGAAACAGTTCAAAAGCCTACTTTCAATTACCAAGGCCTCACATCTGTAATACAAATGGCTAAGGTGTGACAGAACGGTTGCTGGTGGCTAAGAATCAACTAAAAACCATTCTACGATTCACACTAGTTACAGTCTTTTCAGACTTCATATTTTTTTGCGAAGTTTCAGACTGAACCCAACACCTGAGGAGAGGTTCTGAGAATATATTGATACATTAACTTTGTTCTTTTGGCGGAATTTTTCGAGGGTTGTGAAGGAACACATACGAAACGTCACCACGATTTCGAATGGAAATCGAATGTGAGGACCATCTCAGAGGAAATGGGGTGGGATTATCGCCAAAAGCTACGCTTTTTTATGATTCATTAGCATAACCTTCTCTCTCTTGACCCTGTAATTCCCTCTCTTTTTCATTTATCAAACTTTACTCGAGTAATGGAATGCTACGGTCAGCGTTAAATTCTTTGAGTTTTTAGTAACAAATTAAGGTTCACTCGCGAGACTTGGTGCGAGATGCTTGCCCTGGCAATATAATTTTCTCCAGCTCTATTCCCTCGCTCCACATCTGATCGCCCGGACTTTGGTTTTGGAAGTAAATTGGAACCTGAGAGCGTAGTCTTTTGTTCAAAGGAAAGACCTCTCCCTTCTCAATGAACAGTAGCATTCTTTGTTTAGACTCGCCCGCTTGCCAGCGATAGAAGAAAGAACGCAAATGGAGCGTAAGCGGAACGTAGCTGCTTGCACAGCTAATTCGTAACATGCGATCATCTTATGGTTTATCCCATGCATACGTTAATGATCTGGTGGTCAGTCCCATACGGTGAGCTGCCACCCTCAGCAGCTCATTAGCATTGTGTATGCTGATTGTCAGCATTGTCATTTGACTGCTTTCATCTTCGTCAACTGCCATTTTGGTCATCTTAGATGCTTATCAGGAACAGAGAATGATGAGACGTTGATTGGGAACGTCACCACCCCGTCCTTCCAGAAAATCAATCGCGCTGAAGAAACTTTTGCCATATGACTCGACAACAAGAAGGCAGCAGAGCGACATGTTGCTTCAATTAGGTCCAAGCACAACAATCAACGTCTTCAAATGCCGATAGTAAATCGCCGCCACTAAAGCTCACATTACGTACATAGCTGTTGAAAGGAGCCTCACCCCAGTGAGGAGATCGGGATCTTCCTCCCTGATCTTCAAGATGGATATAATTCTAAAGAGCTACCTGAGTACATGATGAGCCTATAGCTCACTCTGAACCCAGATTTTTCTTTACTCCCACATAGTTTCATAGATCAGGAAATACAATTTGTGTTCACTGCCAGACTTTACTTCCCGATTTCCAAGAATTACTGGGCCGAATTGTATACAAATTCAACTAAGTACATATTACCTGTGTGGGTTCTAGAAAATATGCTGCCATGTTGTGGATGGAAAATTTCTTTCAAGCTTACAGGTAATCGGCTAATAACAGCTAAGCATACGTAGGTTAAGGAAGCATTTGTGCATCTTGAGGAATGCAAAGGAATTAAGTATGGAGCTCTTAAGTTAACTTGTGTCAAGCCCATGAAGGTTCCCCCCACCCACTCCCTCCCTGCCTCCCTCTGAGACCATTACATACCTGTGGTGGGCCTGAAGACTCTTGTTTTGAGAAGAAAATCTCTGAAAAGCTGCCAGAAGGAACTTCTTCCTGACCGAAAGCCATTTTTTTATCCACAGCTGAGAACATGCGTAGAAGAAAGAAATTCGGTATTTTTTTACCCCNTCTTCCTGACCGAAAGCCATTTTTTTATCCACAGCTGAGAACATGCGTAGAAGAAAGAAATTCGGTATTTTTTTACCCCTTGTCTGACAGTCAAGATCGTCAAAGACGCATGTCAAGAGCTGCTTTCAAAAAATACGTGAAATTAAGGTTTCCACATGCCGTTCAGTGGCCATTGTTTGGTAGAAGTTTTCTCGGGCAACGATAATATACAGGGATTACATAGAGCTACTGCTTGAACAGCTTAGTCTACAGAAACAAATGGAATGACCATATGTGGATTGACCTCCATTGAACTGACTAGCAGCAGATTTAGGCCCAATGAGCAATAACTTCAACAATAAGATAAATCATCATTTAAGGAAGAGGATAATGTCTGCAGCAATAAGTTATCTGGCTGCTGAATGATGGGGATGGGGAGATGACTCGAATTTCACAACGGCCAAGCCCTCACTGAGCCCTTCTTAAGGCATACAACGATGGTACTAGGAGTGGATGGTGCAGGTGTTTATCCACTCAAGCTGCAGATGCCCTGCCTGTCAAGAAGGTGGACCTCGGCAATATTCATGACTATACGGTCCAAGGGCCACCAGTGTAGCCTTCCACGTGGCCCTCCGTCAACGACTTCAGCGCTTTCATTGCGCTGCCACATAAACTTCCGCAATTTCGTCGATATAAACAGCACGCGCACGTGTTGCGATAGCATCATTGCGGGAAAATAAGCGCTAGCTGGGCCAGATGTTTCGAGAAATAGCGCGATCAAAGCCGAATGTAGCACAATGGCAAAGCCCGTCCCGATCGTGTCAAAGCGATTGCGGTGGTATCGAGATCGATGCAGGTGTTTATTCGTACCCTTTACTCTAACCCAAAACGCCGCTCATTCACGTCCTTCTTTGTTACTAAAAAATTTCTATGGTGCATCAGAACTCACTTCATCACATCGAGCACATCTCGGTTTGATCTGTTCTGCGTGATGTCGACCACAGTATACCTGAAAGTAATAAAATGAAAATAGAACCAACACGATGGAGACGTAAATTTTTAAAGGCGAGGTAAAATCTTCTCTCTTACCTTGCCATCATGAGAAAAATAAATGAGATCGACGAGTAGTGTGGCGCATTCTGCACATTGGAAACAAGCTGGATGATAGACTGCACCAGTTCGAGAAGCGATCACGCAAATTTCGCCTTCGTTGAACGGAACCGAGCACTGAAGCAAATTCATCAGTAGTCAACTTCACAATAATGATGTGTTACGTTTATCTACAATTTTGGTGGCATTCTGAGGGACCTCGTGAAAGCGCTCGTAAAGAACATCAAGGTAATCTCTGTTCTTCAGAGATGTTCGGATGGAGTCATTCTAAGGACATTTGTATAGGGGATGCTTTATCTCTTCAAAAAACGGAAAAGCCTCATGTTCGCTTGCGAGGAGGCTAACAATAAACTGTTTCGACAAAACCCAAAGGGCATAGAGCAGCGTTCTGGTATATACAGGCAGCTGAACCAATCAGTGACTATATAGTGGAAGTCATGAAGAAAAAAAAGGAGGGGGGTGCACAGCAACTCAGCGACTGACATTGTTTCAGAAATTTCAAAGACAAGATGCATAACAAAGCAGAAAGTCACGTAGTAATGTTCTGTAGAAACAGCAGCTGTTATACTGGAAAAACAGCAGAAAGCATCATTGGGCCGGAAAAGGGACGCTGGAAAGTAATTCAAACTATATATGGACATGATAGGAAACGAATTTGGAAGGGTGTCACTCGAAGTGAGTCTGTCCAGCTCGTTTTCTGAAACAACGGACAGAGCGGTAATGAGAAATCGCCTCACCTTGCAAGCAACGCATTGGTCCCCAACGTTCCAAATATGCGGTTTCAAAACGAACAGGAATAATAAAAAGTCCTTTGGCGCTGTTCAATCCCGTTTTGGGATGCGCCTCCCCCTGACTTCCACTCAGAATCGTGGTCGCGTTTCGAATGCGAACGTGGAGTATTCCTACCTACCTTTAACTTACGATGACCAGCCGAATTACAAACTGGCGCTACAGTACACTCTAGTCGCCCTATGAAGAAATTTTACGATCTAAGCTTTGACCCCGTGTTCTTTTACCGCTTTTTGCACTTTTTTCACTGCGACTGTCGTGAAGTTCTGAAAAACACGTCATCAGTAACATCTTTACCACTACTAAGGTAGAGCCTTGACTAAGTGACCGATTCCGCCTGTTGCGTGTCATGGGATCCTCGTAACACCAGAACACCCCTCAATTCCTCCCTAGCGATCCGAGAATGCATGACGCTAGGCGATTTGCATTCGCTATCGCATATTTCAACCACATTGCATGTCGAGGCGAACACTTGGGCAGCTGATGATACAATTCGAACGTGAAAACATAAACGACACGATTCATAGACAGCTGTGTACATTTCCTTCCCGAAATTTCAGCCTTTACTGCTTTCTTTTGTGGATCGTTACTGGTACCATCATTTTTGCATCAAAGTGTAGGAGAAATGAACCCTCAATACCCTCGCCTCGAATTTGAGATATATGGTTGAGTGAGGGCACTCCTTAAAAAGCCGGGAGAATATTCTTAACTCAGATCGACTTATCATGGATATATCGCAATTTTATCTTCATATTTTTCCATAAAGATAAAGATCTCGCAATTTCAGCGCACATGCAATGTTTCCCTAACCTGTCAAGAAGATCTTGGACTTCTTCTCTCCCGCGCGACTGCCCAGGAGGTGACGTTTTAGTACCCATCAAGATGAAAGGATGATCCTTTGTGTAGACGGGGATTTGCTTTTCGGTATCACGGATCAGCAGCGCATGACAGCTGCATGGACGAAGCGCGAGGGTCAAGCAGCGAAAACGATATGTGTGCAGTGGATGTGTATGTGTGCATTTGTGAACGTAGTTCCTCCCTAAGAGCTCCGTTGACAGATGTGGCCATCCATCGGAGCTGCTATTCATTAGCAAAATATTCCCTTAATAGAGAATGTTCATCTGGTACTGACGGGAGTGGGCAACTAAGTTTCCCACAAGCTCGCTTGCGAGGAAATCTTATTTTAAACGATTCGCAGGTCAATCACCTCACAATCAGGCAGGAATTTGGAAGAGTAAGGAGGAAGCGTGTAGGGAAGCGTTTATGAATGCACAGGAGAACGTTGCACAGGAGAATAGAGAAGAATGCCTTCGCTAAGTGTTTTTTCTGCTTCGTTGCTTCTTAAGTGCTTTTTCCCGGAGTTTTACTCAGCTTCCTTCACTTCACTACACTGGGAGAAAACTGGCGGTTGCTTCCTCACCAGGATACAGTAGCTTGAATGTCTTCGAGAGGAAAAAATCGTAGGCAACACCTTATCTATCCAAAGTCTGTATCCAGGGAATTTACCTCCTGAACTGAGATAAAAAGCCACTTCTTTTGTAACCCAACATCCCCTTCACCCACACCCACCCCTCTCCACCATTCCTGGACTAGCTCTAGACGGTGGCCTATCCACCGGGTACACAGATCTCGACTGCCTTAACGTTTTTGAGGTGGGGCCAGGTTCGTAAATTCCGGTGATTCACTTGACGTAAATGTCCTTACCAGAGTGCTACGAACGCATTAATGTGCTAAAAATGTGCCCAATACCATCACATTTTCCTTTGTGGGCTACAAAAACCCTCTCAGTTTACACTCGTGAAAATGCTACGACACTACAAAGTTCATGGCCAAGTTTTCACAGAAAGAGTTAAGAATCGACGATCTATTCAGCTATTCGGAGCCGCTTTTACGACCTTTACCAATGCGACCTCCTGCAGCTCCTTTACGACGAGACTGCCCACACCTTGTCGTTAACGGGTTCAACCAACCGGTTGCAGCCTGTTGTACAAAGAAAGCGCTAACTTATTCACATCCCATCCCAAATCATTGAAAGAAGGCATCTTAGACTGAAGGCTAATGCTTCGGTTTTAAACTTTGCTCTAACTCGAAGCAGAGCTTCGGAATCATGTGACATCGCTTTTAGGGCTCTATAAATGGCAAGAAGGTGTTTTCGGTGTGACAGTAATTACTTCCTAACAGACACTCGAGAGCCATGAGGAAAAAGGCCCGTTGAAGAACCATAGAGGTCGGCATGTTTGGCCAGTGCGCGTTCTCAAGTGACCGACAATTAGGCATATCCTGAATGGATGATCTGTGACAGTGGCACCGTCCATCTGGCATCCTCCCCGTTGGATGGCTCCAGGGTCAAACACTAATCATGTCCACGTCAGGGGGCGCTAAGTAACCCAGCAGTAACAAAACGAGGGGTAGAGTTTACGTTTTTTTTTNTTTTTTTTTTGATAAACAAGGGGGTCAAGTGAGCTCAAAGCCCATTGATCCGATCAGATAACAAAATTGAGTTCTTCTCTCAACTCTTTTCGTGCTTGTCAGGTTGCCTCAAAGAATCCGATCGGAGAAAAACCAAATGATATCATAGAAGAGTTTATGCGATCAAAATTAAGTTTAGTCATCCAAAAAGGGAAGAATGGATGAAATGAGAGGCATGTGCCTTTTCCGACGGAAATTCAACACTGGAAAGCAATCAAAAAAGTTACGGGGCCTTCTCATTCAGCCTCCTTCAGTGTTCCCGTTCATTTTGTTTATGATGATGGAGAGCATCATCACACCAGTAGAGAGGGTCTGGTTCGCGCATCTGCTTCTGAAGCATTTCCAGATTGCAGCGGATTGATTGATCTCTTCTACCAGCTGAAGCAATGAGCTGATGATGAGGGTCAGCGCCGATCCCTATCATTCTACTGACGGGAGCGGGTCGGGCTCTGGGCCGTTTTTTACAGCCATTTACATCCCGTCTGCCGCTCGATCACAAATCCATCGCATGATTCATGCGGTAAAGCTGGCCGCTACAGTGGGCTTCGTCATGGCTCCGCAAGGCCATTCTACAGCCGGCCTCAGCGTCCTTACGCAACTGGCATTTTGTTATCGATGGACGGAACTGTTTCTTTGCTTCGCCGAAGCTTTTTGTGAGATTCACTTATTGGTCCCTTGCCCATATGTAGACGAAGGTCAATAGGAGGAAAATAAAGAGCGAAACAATGTAACCGGTCTGCAGAATCGCTGGAAGAAATCCAGACGTTTGCAGTGAAAAATCGAATGTGACATTTGAAGGATGACTGGAACTCACCTTGGCACACTTGCGACTTCTATCTTCGTACGAAACACGCTCAACCGCCCCACGTCCGAGGCACTCGGCCTTGCGACGGCGCTCGAAAAGCCTAAAAACCGCCTTTACAAAGGAGGCTCAAAAAGGAGAGTGTGGGAATGAACCATACCTCAGTTCGGCTTCTTCCTCTGAGCTGAGTCGGGCGCAGTATCGGGGGTCGGAGTCTTGTGGGGGTAGCTGATGACGCAGCTGTCGGATACGCCATTTCTCACCTGCGCTGTTCACATAGGGCACCTTTTCTTCCGGCAGAGCGGCGAAAAACATGTGTACCTGGAAAGAATGTAAACTCAGAAGGTCACCAAAGACGATCACGAGAATATACCTACCATATTCGGTTTGAGGCCACTCGGAATCCAAGCGTACTCTTCAAGAACACACCCAGAGTCATCGTCACTGGTCGAGTGGCGGTAAACATCTGCAGCTATCCGAAGACGCGACGCCGGTGACAGCCCTCCTTCATTACGTGGCGCTCGCAATTCACGACTGCGACGCCGTCGCACTCGATCGGTCATCTACTCGATATCTATTGACCAGCTTTTAGCAACAATCAATAACTATGAATCATAGACGAGACCCGATCAGTATTCGACACATTTCTTGGATGCAGTAGGTCAGTAAATCACTTTACTGGGGCGATTCGCCGAGAAAACGAGGTAAAAGAGAGGCTGGCAGTGAAATGGTAAGAAAGTAACAGAATTCGAGTATAAGAAAATGCATGGATGTATTGTATGCAATGTGTATGCAATGTACAGCAGCCATTCAAAATATCCAAGGTAAACGGAGAAGAAGATAGCTGAGAACAAATCACAAGTCTAGATTCAAAAACCTCGATAGCTCCAGATGTTCGAAAAGAGAGGATCAGAAATCGCTGAATTTTCAGCATCTAGTACTCCGCTAAGGCATATGACATCAAATAATAGAGCAAAATATAAAGTCTGCTTAGAGTCTTGCAATTTATTCAAGTTGCTAATCAATCGGAAAGCAAATTTTGGCCCTCAAAAGAGCCATTACTTAGTATGAAAACTATTTATACCGGAGGTTTCGCAGTGCTCAAAATCTTGGATCCCCTTAATTTTCGAAAAAAAAAATGAT